TGCACATTTGAAAGTGACTACCTGTTGTCATGTGGCCAATAGCAGAGTTAGCCAGTGTCCCCACTCCAGCAGGATAATGCCCCACTTTTCCGAGTGCTTTTCAGGACCTCAGGCCTGGGAACAGTGGTCCTGTTTCCAGTGAGTGTTTCCAGAGGGACTGGGATGTGGGGAGCCCAGACTGCCAGGGGCATCTCTGCCCACATCTGTGGTGTGCTTTGCTGTCACCTCCACACCCGCTCCCATGTCAGAGCAACTGTTGGACAGATTGTTGAAGAACCAGGGGTGCAGAGTAAAGAATAGGAAGCTGGTCATTGGGGCACAACTGACCTGGGGTCCTGAGTCAGCCTCGGTCCCTTTAATTGGCACCCCCAGGCTATGACCAAGGCTGGGTGCGGCGGGGCAGAAATCGCTCACTCACACTCCATTTGATGCAGCAAATTGCTAGGCCATCTATTCCCTGTGCCAACATGGGTAGTGGGGTTCTGGAGCCACTCTGAGCAGGTCCCCCCACAGGATGCTGGGCCATTCATTTCACACCTCTGAGCTTCAGCTTCCTCACTGGGGCTGGGCCAGGGGAGGGGGGCACAGCAGATGTGCCCAGATGTGCCCAGGAGGGAGGTTGCACAGGCAGGCATGTCAGTTTCCTGTCAGGAACTTGGGGTGCCTTTGCTTCTTAGGGTAGCTGCTGTGGTTTGAGGTTGAGCACATCCAGCTTTTCCTCTCCCCCTGCTATCTTTGTCACCCTTCGGGTTCTTATTCTTTGCAGGTCTCGCTCTCTTTTTCTCTCCATGCTCGTGTGACCTCGGTCTCCCTGCCCCCACCTTCCCAGCCTTCAGCCCGTCTCCACCTCGCCCTCTGCATGTATCTCCTTTCTTTGGTGTTTTTGTTCCTTCCCACCCACCCCTACCCCAAAAATAACTGTACTCCAGAGTCTCAGGTTTCTTTCCTTCTCTTTGCTGCTCCCAGGCCAACTGTCTGACCCAAGGACAACTTTAGATTTAAGTCAGGAGGCTCCATTGCTAGAGCAGGAGTCCGTTTCCTGCAGTCACCCCACCTCCCGCCACTCCAGAAGGAAGGCATCCATGTCTGTCTGTCTATGAACCTGCTCTGCCTTCAAACACCCTGCAGAGCAGTGACAAAGCCTTTGCTAGCATCGACGCACAAGTCCCCTCCAAGCCTCCCATCCCCTGCTCTCTGCTTCAGCAGAAGCAAGGAAGGAAGAAACCAGAGGGCTTCAGCGTCCACTCCAGCCTCTACCCCACTGTGACCTGGGGACAGGAGCCTACCTCTCTGAGTCTCAGATCATGACAAAGCATTTCTGCCAGAACAGAATAATTAGACCGGTGCCCCCAGCCCAGGGCTGATGTGGGTCAGCCCTCAGGTGACATCAGCTCACTGGACCAGCACAGTCACTCTTCTCCAGAATGCATTGATTCAGTTCCTCATTCCTTCACCGGTTCATCCACTCACTCAGCTACCATGGCAGGGGGCACCTTGGCTGGTTGGCATGGGCTCCTCCCAAGGCCCATTCGCTTGGACGGCTAAGAACCACAGTTCACTGTTATCCAGAGAGCCTGGGGCAGGGATGAGCAGTGTCCCCCAAGCCCCTGCAGGATCACTCCTCGAGTGGACTTGCTCTTGAAATGGTCCTTTGAGGACTATGTCCAGCTATATCCATCCATGCAGACTATGGATGGATAGGTGGACCAATGGACGGGCAGAGGAGTGGATGGACAGAGGGGTGCATGGATGGTTATATGAGTGTTTAAAGGGACGTGATCCCTCCAGCCCTTTGAAGAACGACACAGAGAGATCCAGGTAGCAAACAGTGGCACAGTAGCCATTGTGATGCTATGTCCCATCCCCAAGGTTGGCCCGTGTGGCCAAGATCAACATGCTGCCTGTGGACTGTAGTTGTGGGGAGCAGAGTACAGACTTTCCCCAAACATTATTATCCTTTTACTTTGTAGTCTCACATTCCTTAATCCATTCATAACCTACTTCTGAAAACAGGCTTATGTCTCCACATATTTTTGTGCTCCAGGCTCTGTCCAGGGCTGGCAAATGGTAGGGTTTAAGGATGCTGGGTAGATAGATGGTTGGATGGATGGATAGGTGGACCAATGGACAGACAGAGGAGTGGATGGATAGAGGGGTGCATGGATGGTTATATGAGTGTTTAAAGGGACGTGATCCCTCCAGGCATACCCATCTCATATGATCACCAAGAAAACCAACTGTATTTGTTATTGGTTTGGAGAGAAGATTACAAGATGGCTAGACTAACCCTCTGGTTGCTGTCTAGTCTGAGATCCAAGATGATAATTATCCCCAGGATTACAGATACTGGTTGAACAACTAAGGGGCCAAAGACAATAGGACCCTTCAGGAGAACTGGAAGAAATGGGCTCAGGAGCTTTGGGCTAACCTCTATAAGGTCCCCTCTGTCCCCACAGGCAGACTGTTCACTCCATGGCCACCACACTGGTGTTATAAAATATTTGAGCATTGTCTACTGTTTTTCCCAGTTGGCTGGCTGAGAGCTCCTCAAATGCAAAGATTATTTTCAGAATTTTATTTTCCTAATGCCTGGCATAGTACTTGGCATGTAGTACAGGCTCAGTTAATATTGCATGGATCAATGAGTTGATAGGTGGTTGGAAGAGTGGATGCATGAACGGTTTGCTTTAAGGATGATGGGTGGGTGGATGGATGGATGGTTGGTTGATTTTAGAGGTGATGGGTGATTAGGTGGGTGGATGAATGGATGGTCGGTTTTTTTGGATGATAGACTGTTGAGCACTTTGCTAGATGGATAGTTGAATGGTTTGCTGGATGGGTGGTTGCATTTGGATGGATGGATGGATGGATGGATGGATGGATGGATGGATGGATGGATGGATTGGCCTCCTAGACTCAATCTCCCACATGATACAGGAATCCTTCCTACAGTGCTTCTGACAGTCCTACCTATGTGTGTTTACCTACCTATGATAACTGACTCACAAGGTATTTCATTAACTTACTAGCAGAATTGTTTTAAACATTCCCAAATCCTAGCTATGATAATGGAGTGTACCTTCATGGTTAAGACTTTGGTTGAATCTCAGGTACCCTAACTAAAGCAATGCTGCCTTGAACAAAGTCTTAGGCCTCTCTAAGCTGGGTTTCCTCATTTGCAAAATGAAGATAATTGCACTATCTGCAGGGTTATGGGGATTCCATGAAATACTGAATGGCAAAGGCTGGTCAATGCTTTATAAGGGGATTGTTATTGTTATGATACTGAGCCAAGATGTACCCTCCTATAATTGATTTTTCACCGAGAGCCAGATGTGTGCCAGATATTGTTGTACCATTGTATATTCAATGCCAAGCAAGATTGAAATGGTCTCTCATTTCATGGAGTTTATGTTCTAATGGGATGTTCAGACAATAAACAAGTAGACAGGTAAAAGCTTTCAGATGCTCTTAAATGCTGTGCAGAAAATTGAAATAGGGTGAGGTGAAAGAATGTAATATGGCTGTGAGCTTATAAGACACAGTCATGCAAAGATCTAGGGAGAGGGTATTCCAGGCAGCAGAAACAGCCAGTGCAAAGGTACTGAGGCAGAAACAAGCTTGCTCCAGGGAAAGAAAGGCCAGGCGGCAAGGGGGAAGGCAGGGGCAGTCAGGGCAGAGACGGCTGCAGGAGGCAGATCCCACAGGCTGTGCAGGCTGGGCTGTGATTGGAACGTTCTCCACATTGATTTCATGGTGTCCTCTGAGCGACATAGAAGGAGCCTTGTGCATTTGGCCATCACTCAGCTCCTGTGACAGCTGACAGGCTCCCAGTCTTCTGGCCGCCAGACTGAGCAAGCCCACTCTCAGCTTTGCCAGATGACATTCTAGGACACCTGCAGCTACTTCTCTGATGATGTGCTGGATCCCATAAACCTAGAAACCACAGGGCATCAGAGTGGACCCAAAGGAAAGCAGGCTGAGGAAAGGCAGGAGGCTTCTAATTGGAATCACAATGAACTAAACCAGCAAGCTCTGTTAGAAGCATTTATCCAGGTGAGTCTGGTGTAGGAGCCGACTTTCAAAGAAAAATAAGATCCGACAGTGACTGGTCCGGGAGCTCAAGTTAGGGCCTGGACCTCTCTGCCCTTGTGTCCTCTGGGATACTTCTCTTCCCAGGCAGCCTCTCTCCACGTGAGGACAGAAAGGCTCTCAGGATCTTCCAGTTCCATGTATACAGGAGAACCTCTCTTATGTAGTTGTTCCAACAGAAGTCTGGAATTCTCTTTTCTTGGCTAACCAGCTTTGGTTCAGTCCCACGCTAACCTCTGCATGGACCTGCTATGGCCAAGAAGGTGCAGTGTCCCGATCACCCCAGTGCTGATGATGGAGGGAGACCTTGCATTCCTATAGACTGAGAAGAAAGGGGAGATGATGACCCCCCAAAAATTGAATGATAGAGTTTCAGTTATGGGTGATGGATAAGTTCTGAGGTTTCAGGTACAGCGTTGTGCTCCTAGTTGTGCTTGTAGCCGTACGTGTACTTGTATGCAAAGAGCTGAGGTCTCCTGCTACCTGTTCTGATCACCTTTAGGAGGGGCTGAAGGGATGCTGCTAGGAGGTGAAGGGAGGGTGGTCTGCCCAGGCTGGAGTAGCATGCCAGTTTCCGTTGCCCAAGTAAAAAGGAACCTCACCCTCCCGTATGGTAGAGACAGACACCTCCTCTTCCTCCCTCTCACCTGTCTCGCTCGGTAGTTTAGTAAGTGTGTGCACGTGTCTCTGTGGACTTTGGAAGCTCCTGTGGGTTGACAACCTTGTCTACAGCCCTCAGCCCAAACCGGCTGCCACATTATAACAGGGCAGCATAGGGACCCAGCTCACATTTGGTTCCAGTGAATCAGATTCTAGAACCAAATATGATTGCGGCAGAGAAACTCCCCACCCCCACAAGAGACCACCCAGCCTCACCCCATCTCTGTGGTCTCTCGGGCCTTCCCCAGGTAAAGCCAACAAGAACGTGCAGTGGGACGAGGACTCCGTGGAGTACATGCCGGCCAACCCCGTCAGGATTGCCTTCGTGCTGGTGGTGCACGGCCGCGCCTCTCGGCAGCTGCAGCGCATGTTCAAGGCCATCTACCACCGGGACCACTTCTACTACATCCATGTGGACAAGGTGAGGACCCCGGCCACCCCCGGGCCGTGCTTCTGCGCCCCTCCCAGCTGGCCTTTTAGGGAGGCTCATGGGCCAAACAGCTGCCTTTCTCTGCATGTGTGTGTGTATGTGTGTGCATTGCACATGTGCATGTTTGTGTGTGTGTGTGTTTCACAGTTCCCAGCTGCGACTTTAGACTTTCTTCATAAGCACCGTATGCCTTACCTCTCCTCACTGCCCCTCTGCCCGACGCCCTCAGCCACTTTGTGAGAACAGTACCCAGGGGTGGCCACGCTTTTTCTCTCAAGGGCCAGAGAGATTTTAAGCTGCTCTGTCCACTGACTCAGCCTCTGGAGCTGGCCGTGGTGGTGTGTGGGCAGCCATTAACAAGCACAGGAAAGCCTCATTCACGAAAGCCTGCAGCGGCTTGCTCACCTCACCCTCTCTGAGCCCAGAGAGCTGACATGACGTCATCTACTGACGAGACAGGATGCTGCCATTTGTCAAGAGGCAGAAGGGACGCTTGATCTGAAAGGACTGCTTCTGACAGTCTGTGGGAGGGTGATGGGGAGTCTCACCTCTTAAAATGCTCACCAGGTTTAGGCACAGCCATACTGTGCCACTTGTCACCCCCAGGTCACATGCCCAGGTCTGGTGTGAAAATGCAGAGTCCCAGGCCCCAGCCCATGACCCAGGGAGCTGTCCGCTGAAAAGCTGGACCAGGGCATCTGCATTTCCAGGAGCTAAAGTAAAATGCAGGAATGATAAAGACTCAAGTAGCCATGCAGAAGGTCCCCACCTCTTGAGCCAGTTACTTAGCAGCACTACCGTGTGCAGAAGCCACAGCAGCTACAAGGGGAGGGGGCGGAGTGGGCTTGGGGCGCAGGGCCTGTCTGCTGCAGTCGGCTGCTGACCGTCTCTCTCTCTCCTGGGAAGCGCTCTAATTACCTGCACCGGCAAGTGCTCCAGTTCGCCGGGCAGTACAGCAACGTCCGCGTCACCCCCTGGAGGATGGCCACCATCTGGGGCGGGGCCAGCCTGCTGTCCACCTACCTGCAGAGCATGCGGGACCTCCTGGACATGGCCGACTGGCCCTGGGACTTCTTCATCAACCTCAGCGCAGCCGACTACCCCATCAGGTAAGGCGCCCTGTGCCCCAGCCAGCTGGCCCGGGGTCCCGCACCCGCTCACCCCCTCCAGCGGCGGCTCATCCCAGCCTTCCTGAGATGCGGGCAGAGCTCGCGCACTGTGTCCATAGGAGCCACATGGCGCCCGAGGATCCTATGTGTGTTCACTCACTCACTCTTTCAGCAGAGATGTGCTGAGCGCACGGTTTTCCCAGGTCTGAGGATACACTAAAGCGACTAAAACCCCTGCCCCCAAGGGAGCTTCCAGCCAAGTGGGGGAGACAAACAAGCAAAATAAATAAAATGGCACATCAGAAAAATAAGGCAGCGAGTAATTGCCAGGAAAGGAAGGAATTTTAAGGAGAGTGGCCAAGGACTTCCTCACCAGGAAGAGTGGCAGGAGGCGGAGGAGCCGCCACTCAGGGAACATGGCCCCGGCAGGGGCAAAAGCAGGTGCTGACCCCGCAGGTAGGACAGGCCTGGGGTGTTGGAGGAATGGTGGGGGGCGGTGCATCTGGAACAGAGTGAGTGAGGAGTGGAGGCATAAGAGGTGAGAGAAAATCGGGATGAGGTCTTGGGGATTCTAGAATTTGGCAGTTCCTCGAAGCCAGATGGGAGCCGCCGTGTGTTGTGCGCAGGGGAAGGGCAGGTGTGACTTCGGTGTCAAACTGGAAGGGGACAGAGTGGTCGCCATGGCCCTGGCCAGTCAGAAACCCATATCCTTGAGCTGTTGGAGACCCCCAGGGGTGTTTGCTTGGCTCCTGTCAAATTTTAGAAAATGAATTGACGACCCATATTTTAAAATTAGGAGGGTTCGTGTGAACCTAGAGATTTCGATCTTCTCTAGAACATTCGCCCTCTGAGCCTGCAGCCACTTGGCCACATTGTGTGAGGATGGCAGAGAAGCCAGCAGCCCCTAAGAGGCCAGATACAGCCAGGAAGCTCTGGCCCTTTGCACGAGCATTGACAGCTCTTGAAAATACATGATGAGCAAAGCAAACCTGTCTAGAGAACTTCGGGGAAGGGGCAAGATGTCAAGAAGACAGTTCTTGGCTTGTCTGTCTGCCAGGCTGATTTATTGACGGACAAGGCGGAAAAGGAGAAATGAGTGGGGTGGGGGAGTGCAGGGGAAATCTTCCTTCTTTTGACGGCTTGAGGGATTTGGGTAAGCGTTCCCAGAAGACCTGAAAGAGTCTTTAAAAAAAGACTTTTATCAGAGCAATTCCCAAACATGCTCAGGAGTACTGAAAATAGTCTGTGAACCCCACCTTGACATCACCGGTTTCAAAGATAATCAGCTCACAGCCAGCCTGGTGCTCGCTCGACCCGTGTCCCTCTCCCTGACCCCGCCGGAGCATTTCTAAGACACACACTTGCACCTGTAAATATTTCAGTATACCATTTCAAACAGATAAGGTCTCCCTTTGAACAGAACATCAATATGCTTATCACACCTAAAACGTTACCAGTCATTCTTAACGGCCTTGAGTATCGAGGTCACATATTCCCAGGAGTTGGGGTTTTCAATCAGGATCTAGATGAGGTCCCGGCATGGAAGAGTTCTCAGTCAGAGCTAGAAATGACTCGTTTCCTGCACCGTGTGATTCCTGGTGCCTCAGTCCTGGGCGTGGCGGCTTCCCATGGCTGGCTGGGAGGCCCCGGATGCTGGAGGGGACCTCAGTCTGTGGCATTTTGGTTAAGATAACATTGGCACCCTGAACCTGAGGACAATGTCGACAGGTTAGAGACCTGTCTCTGTTGTTCATAGAAAACAGGGTCCAACAGGGTGCTCAGGAAACCATGGGCAAAATTTTACTTAATACTCATTCATTTAAACAAGTCCACAAACATTTGTTAATCAATTCCTATGCTGGGCACTATTGGGGCACGTGGTGTGCACAGTGCCCCCCCACCCCACCCCACCCGGGGCAGCACATAGCCTAGATCATCATGCAAGGACTGTAAAGAAAGGAAGGTGGTGTGAATGGAGAAAAACAGGAGGGACCTATCAGGCTAGGGAGGCCTCTGAATATGAAGTTTTGAGTGAGACCTGGAGGAAAAAGAGGGATTGGCAGGCAAGTGAAAAAGATCGTGTGAGCTAGGATTTTCCAGCCTGGGCACCACTGTTGTACCAGGCTGGGTCATTCTCTGTTGCGGGAGGTTGTCCCATGTGTTGGAGGATGGTTAGTTGTATCCCTGACCTCAGTCCAGTAGATGCCAGTGGTGCCCCACAACTCTTCACAATCACAGATCTCTCTAGATGTTACCACCTGTCCTCAAGGGACAACACCTCCTCCAGTGGTGAACTCTCCAGTTCCTGATAGAAAGAACAGTCTGGAAAGGACTTGGGTTAGCAAAGGGCTCGTTGCCTTTGAGAACTTTAAACATGGATGGAGTATAATAAACCAAAGAATAAGGAGAGGGAAGTTTAGAGACATTCAGGACAAGGTAGGGTTAAGACATTCTTCCTCCATCTTTTCAGAAAAGTCCCAAAATGCTGAGTGTAGCAACTAGCATGGTGGGCACCTCCTTCAGTCCTCAAAGCAAACCTATTGTACAGAAGGGCAAACTAAGGCCATGGTCATATAAGGACAAACTGGGGATTAGAACCAGTTCTGTCCCGTGCCAACATTCTCTTGCTTCAAGTTGGCCCCTTGGGGAAGCATTTTTCCCAGAGGGGTTGGATGGCCCCAGGCCCGGACCTCATGGCTGGACAGGATAGTAATTGCACCAGTGGGCAACGGCCCCCAGGGAGGGTCATGAGAGGTAATTCCTCCTCCAGACCTCTAGTAGAGGTCCCAGAGGACAGCCCGGCTAGATCAGGTGGTGGCATTATGGCAGAGACCTCTTTCAGCCAGGTATGTGAGCCAGTGTCCTTGGCTCTTCCCAGGAGAACCATGCCTGGTTTCCAGGCTGCCCCCTAGAGGACCTACGCTGATTTGCAAACTGAAGCCATAACCTTGGTCCCTTAACCAAGGCAGTTCCACTAGGGTATTAGGAATTCTAGTTTCTCAGCCTTCTAGAGGATGCATGCTCAGACTCAGGTGACTAGCATTCAAATATAAGCTCTACTTCATCAGAAGGTGGTTATCAGCAAGTACATCTAATCTTTGTGAAATCAGGATAGAATATTAGAACTAGCACAGTGTTGAATGCTTAGAAAGTACTTAATAAATGTCACCTATTAATTCCTGAGCCACAGTCAAAGCTAACCTCGCCTCTCAGGAACCCTGAAATCCGTTCTCAGACCACATACCCACCTATTTGAATTCAGAGACAAGAGTCATCCTATTTCTGGCTTTTTTAGCTAGATGTTGCAGGTCTCTCTGCATCTCTCCCAGTCTGTCTTTCTCTCCCTCAGCCTCCCACTGCTCTTATTTCCTCCCCTTCCCAAGTTTTTCTGCCTCTGCGCTTTGCCATCCTCATGCCCAGAGGCACTTTATGCATCAAGCACTGCTGGTTCCTCTTGCTGTTGTTTTTGTGAAGTTGCCCCACACGAAAACATATGAATTTTGCAGATGAATGATTTTATCCTGGGCAACTCTGATAGGTTTTCACTTCCCATCTGCCGCTCCATCTGTAGCTTCCCAAACCGCTATTTCTTCGATCCCAGGAGAGAGAAAACTTAGGGGCCTTCTCAAAAAGTGGGAGTACCCAAGTCAGAAGCTTCCTTATAAGAGTGTTGGAAAACTTGGGAGCTCACCTAGGACAGAGCCCCCCAAAGTGGCTGGTACTCTGAGTAGTCTGTGATCTGACATCACTTCCCTGTGTCTGCCACCCTACTCTAAATGGAGGCCAAATGCTTCCCCTTTTAGGCAATAAAGACTTGCTGGTCTTTCCTGGCCACCAGACACTGGATGCAGACAGCCTTTGTGCCACCCCTGACTGACTGTGTGAATCAACACAAGTTGCTCTACATTTTCTGTGTCTTGGTTTCTCTACCCAAAAAACAGGACACAATATTAATGCCTATCTCATAAGACTGTCAGAGGATTGAAGGGAATACTGTGTGTCGAGGGCCTAACAGAATTCTCAACACATTGAAAGTGCTAGATTAATACAGGCTGTTATGAGTATAGCAGTGGAGCCGCGTGGCACCCCAGACGGGACTTAGTCATCAGCTGCATTGCTTTCCTGTGTAATGACTCATGAAAAGCCCAGCAAAATACTTCTTGAACTCACATCTTTTTCAAAAGTGGAAAAAGCAAATTTGACTGTGAAGATTGACTGTTTCAAGAAAAACAAATAGGACCAACTTGTTTGTGGGAGAATAGTCCAGTATTTATAATATACCAGCTAAGTGTATTTGAAGAGTCCAGGTCTTCCCACTCTGCTGCTGACATGGCCACCTGGCCAGATAGGCTGTGGTTAGAGCTGATCTGTATCCATGGGCATGGATGAAATTGGATGTTTTCAAACACTGAGACCTGCTAGGACTTCAGTCATCAAAGAGCACATGGTTTTATTCGATTTATCCTATTTGCTAAGGTAGGAAACTGCTAGCAGACTTCAGTTAGATGGGCCACAGAAAAGATGAGACCAGAAGTGTTTCCCACTCTTGCTTGTTTGGGACCAGTGGAAACAGGCCCCCCCATTGTCTTCCATCACTAGGCCCTCCATCCTGGGCAAAGCAGGCAAATGGAGGAAGGATGAGTGTGTCCAGGGCCCCTCAGACTTGTGCATGTGCTTGTGCATGTGTGTGTGTCTGCATACGAGTGGGGAACAAAACAGTATTGAAATGTCTTAAGCAAAACCCAGGGTCCATTGATTTTTGCCTTTTGGGAGTCTACAGCAACTCTAACCCAATTGAGGAGGCACTCTGTGGACTTTTAATTTACTCTTGACCTTAGAGCTAGACCACTGTTCCGAGATACCACCAGGGCCTCCTGGGAGCATAGGTGGTGCCTCCACAGGAAGTACTAGCTCAAAAAGACAGGAACCAGGTGTCCATGCATCCTCTAGAACATCCCAAAGGCCAGTGTTTACACAGGCCTGATCAAGCAAGACTAACC